ATGGCAGGGGGGTTGGAACTCGATGATCTTGAAGGTCCTTTCCAACCCTAACCATTCTATGATTCTGTGATTTCGATGTCTTACTGCATAAAAGATATTGTGAATGCACTGCTGAGAGTGAAAATTTTATTAAGTCCATGGAAAAGAAAATGAGATGTGAACATAATCATTAAGTGAGATTTTTGTCTATGTCATGAATGGATACACATTTTTTCCACGCGTCGAATTATACATGCTGGTTTTTCCTTCCTCCTCTTCCAGTAGAAAGGCACAGGTTAGTTGCTCATGCACTGGATCGATAGGTCATTATGTTAACCTGCTGACCCAGGGCAGAAGAACCAGAGAGCTTGACTTAACCTGCACCTTCCCCAGCAGTTCACTTTTTGTGAGTGGAGAACAGTAACAGTAAACCAAGGAGTGTTTCATACTGCCGGAAGAACATTAAATGGCCAGATATTATTGCTTGCAAGCAGTTGTTTTAAGTCCTGCAAAATTTAAGTCCTGTATTTTCTGGTCACATAAGTTCTTCTTACCTGGCTTTTTTATTTTTGTTTAAAAAAGGTTTTATGTAACGCCACTTTTTTTTTTTTTTTTAAGTAACAATGCGTCAGTTTGATCATCCTCATATTGTGAAGCTCATTGGAGTTATTACCGAAAACCCCGTTTGGATAATCATGGAGCTCTGTACACTTGGAGAGGTAGGAAAAATCCTTGTGTAGCTTTGGTCTTCTCTTTTAGCTCACAGTTACCTTTACAAAAGACTGAAAGAAATTACTTCTCAGTACTAATGCAAAGGCACTCTCCTCAGACATGATATCATACTTGTTTTTAGAATTATGGACTCAGAAACAGGAGTGGCAGAGTTTGACCTAACTCCTCCACTGAGGGAACTGCGTCAGCTCATACCAAAGTGATTTAGTCACAGTTTTCGGAGAACTTCCATTGCTGCTCAAAGTGAGAGCATGACCTGTGTCAAAATGATGATTATGCAATATCACTTAAACAGCATTTGCAAAGGTGTTTTCTGGAAGTGAAATTATGTGGTACATCTTTTATTCTTCCTGAATAATACCACATTTTCCCTTGGAACACTGAATTTCTTTGGGTTTTTTTTCTGTACGGTCTCTGCAGCAGAGACTCTAATTAAGGTGCCTTTCCTCATTATTATGTCTTTTGGAGTAATGCTTTAAACAGAACTAGATCTCAGTTTTTAAAATTGATTTGCTTTTTTGAGCCATGTGTTTCTGAAAATGTGAGCTGAAGTGCTATTTCATACTGCCTTGTAAGATGGTCATTGTAATTATCAAACTGCAATACGTTGCACAAGGAAAACAAAAAGACAGAAAAACCTGTAGTGGAGAAGTCATTTTCTGTCAAAAAAATTACAGATTTTCTTTACAGTGCCCAAATCACTCTTCAAAACCTTGTTTTAATTTGTAAGGAGGCTCTAGTGCCACCTTTCATTAGGTCCTTACTGCCTTATACCAGGAATATAGCATATAAAAATTCTGCATTGATATTGGCTGCTCTGAGCTGAATCCAGTTGATTTAGCAAATGTAGATTAAAATTAATGCTTCCAAAACAGTGCTGATCTAATTGATGTTCAGATTGACTGTACTGTTTTGTTCTGAAATTATTTAGGCCAAAACCATGCAGTTCTCAAGGGAAGAATGCATAAAAAGTCCAGGAGTTCTTTACTCTGGAACAGCAGCAGCTTATGCTTACAGTCTTCTGAAAGCAATCCACTTTTTTGTTGTTGTTGTTTGGCTAACAGTTGTCATGTAAAAAAAACTGCTTGAATTTAACCCAGACTCAGACTTCATCGTGGCAAGTGATTTTTTTTTTTTTTCTCATCCAGTGTTGAAGGAAGGCATGCCATTGATATTCATGCGAACTTTACAATTTGAGATATGTCTTTTTTAATTTTTTGTCCTAACGTCTTTCCTTTATTTCCTTCTTTGTGCAAAAGTTGAGATCGTTTTTGCAAGTAAGAAAATACAGCTTGGATCTGGCGTCTCTGATACTCTACGCTTACCAGCTTAGCACAGCACTTGCCTACTTAGAGTTTTGTGGTTGTTGTTTGGCTAACAGTTGTCATGTAAAAAAAACTGCTTGAATTTAACCCAGACTCAGACTTCTTCGTGGCAAGTGATTTTTTTTTTTCTCATCCAGTGTTGAAGGAAGGCATGCCATTGATATTCATGCGAACTTTACAATTTGAGATATGTCTTAAGTTTTTTAATTTTTTGTCCTAACGTCTTTCCTTTATTTCCTTCTTTGTGCAAAAAGTTGAGATCGTTTTTGCAAGTAAGAAAATACAGCTTGGATCTGGCGTCTCTGATACTCTACGCTTACCAGCTTAGCACAGCACTTGCCTACTTAGAGAGCAAAAGATTTGTACATAGGTAAGATTTTATATGTGTATGTGTGTACATATATTTTTTTTATACATAACTACTTGAGATTTTAGGGAACATGAGGTGTCTTAGGTTACCAGATTTCTGACTGAGAGTATTCTGGCTATTAGATGCACTTGCACAAGTGAAGACAAACACAACACATAGTTGGATTTTTTGAAGCCTTCCTTTTGTGTTTCTTTTCCTTGACTTATGAGGAATGTGCAGCAGCAATACTTTAAAACTCCTAAAATCCCCTTACCTGTTTTATGTCAGTCTCCATATTAGTCTGTCATTTTTTCAGAGACTGCCACCAGAATTACACCCTTTTCAAGAGTGACACCTGCTGGTGCACTCCTAGATTGACTTGGAGATGGTGCTCGATTTTAATCGGAATAGATTTCAGCTGAGTTGTTGTTTTGCGGTTGCAATAGTTTTTTAAAGCTGCAAGTCGCCTGTAATCTTCAAAATACAGAAAAGAAAAACAAGGGGCAGCCAGCTTCTTAAGTAAAGAACAGGGAAAACAAAATATTTATAAAATACAAGTACGTGCTCAAGGAGAGAGTGAACGTCCTTCTGGCTATGTTTTGAATTTTGTTCCTTTGAATTTGAATATGAGCTTTCTGGGGAGAAGAGACTAGCTTTAGCTTCTTATTGCGTGCAATTAAAATTTCACAGCACTCCAGTTATCGTGTACCATTTCATTTTGAACTTGAACTTTTATTTGTGTTCAAATACGTTTAAATTCTGTGTGTTATATATATAACATAGATATAAACATATATATGTAAGTATTAGGTATGTATATATACATAGATATGTGTATAAAAACGTGGTAAGTAACAGAGCCTTATGGTTGTTACAGATACTTGAATTTTGGCCAAGTAGCTGTTTATTTTAGCTGTAGCAATAAAGTTTCAAAATCCAACTTCTTCATACCATACTGAAATGGGAGAAGGTAGCACCGCTCATTTTGCTGCTTAAAGCTAAATCTGTCGACACTTTGTCAAGCCTGCTGAAATCCAGAATCAACAGACACATAAAGTGAGTTGTCTCACCTGGTAAACAGCGAGAGAAAAGTGCCTGAGTCTTTTCATGATCCCTGTGGCATCAATGAAAACTGAGTTTCCTTATTATGAAGCTTCTTACAGAACCGAGATCTTAAACCAATTCATTCCCTTTGCAGGGTCAGGAGGCAAGTTTTCTTCTTTCCATCAATTCTAACTCCCAGAAATTGTTAGTCTGTGATATTTAAATAGATGAAGAATAAAACCTTTTTTCTTTGATGTTGACATTGACGGTTGTAGTTTCAGATGACAGTTATTGCTTCTAAGGATCAAATGTACTGCAGCATTTCTGCAAGCTTCTCAGGATCAGTAGACAAATATGTCGTTGTCTTTTTCTGTACATGCATACCCAAACCATGACTAGAAAAATAATTCAGTCCTTTAGAAGGAATTTGATACTTCTGGGCTTTAATATTTTTTTTTAAATTATACTTCACCACTTCATGTTTTTAAGTAATTACAAATAACGTCTCCTCTGTCTGGCAGGGATATTGCTGCTAGAAATGTGCTGGTGTCTGCCACTGACTGTGTAAAATTAGGTGACTTTGGTTTATCTCGATACATGGAAGACAGTACTTACTATAAAGGTAAGTTGACACTCTGGATCCTTTTTGCAGGCCAGTTAGAACACATCTTCTTGTCACAATACCAAGTTTGATGTTAAAATGAATTAATCAGATAGTCTAGCTGCAGTATTTTAATGAAAAGGCAAACTATTCAACAATTTAATAGATGACAGTAAATTCTGATATAAATGCTTAAGAAGAAGAATCACATGATCTGATGTAAGTTGCAAAAAGTAGGAAATTCATGTGTTGGTAAAATTCTGCTTTTTAGGACAAACTTGCAGTGCTTTCTTCAAGCTTTTAGAATATTAGCCACATTTGAGCTCTGTTTGAGATAATATTCATATTCATGGCATAATATGGGTAGCCTATTGTGATGGGTTTGCCCTTGGCTGG